AGCTCTCAACTTCCCTTGGTACCGCTACTCTTTGGTTGATTTTTATTTTTTCCACTCCTTTATGAAGGCTGAAGGTGGGGATTTAAAGCTCCTTCAGCAGCCTGCAGGGTACTTCCATCCTGATGTGAGCCTGCTGCCACACAGGGAGGGGAGAGAAATAAGATAAATAAGCCCCCTCCAGCCCCGGGGGTCTGCACTCAGAGTGACAACTGGCACTCAGGTAGACCACTTGGCCACAGGAGAGGAAAAAAAATGGCCTTTGAACATGGCCTCTGCTTTATGATGCACGATTTAGATGCACAGCATGATGTTTTTAAAAGTAAAGAACTAAAAATATTCATTAAGAGGGAGTTTTCTGTATTGCCTCACAACAGAGACCTTTTTCCTGTCCGTGACCTTCTCAAAGGGGCAATGCAAACAGTAAAAAATAATTTTAAAAAAGGAAGTACTGAGCTAAGATCATGGTCTCATGACTCTTTCCATATGCCCACACTCACACTAGTTGCCTCTTCCCTTTCATTTAATACCTCTGTGTGTGTGTGTGCATGCATACGTGTGTGTGAAAAGCACCAGCTGCAGTCACACAGGCTCTGAGGACTCCATGTTACTGTGATTTTTTTCCCCGTCGTGATTTTGCATGTTTACAGCTAAATCTATGCAACACTTGTTTTTCAGGGGTTTGACGGCATCTGAAGCAGAAAGGCTACTTAAAAAGGAGCTTATAAGCTGTTAGAAAGTCAGTGCTTATCCTTTTTCTTTTGACGCTGTATACCTACTTCTGAAAAAATATTAGTAGAACAAAAAAAAAAAATCTCCAAAATAAAGATCTGACTATCTAATGTGGTGCTTTTACCCCCAAACACAGAGGCAGGGCTGCTGCCTTCAGCCTGTACAGTGAGCTCTTTGCAGTGCTATAGAGAGGGACTGGTTTTAAGCCAGGAGCTGATGTGAGCCGACTGTACGGAAAGCCGGGCTATGACGGGCAGACGAAAGAAGAGACAGGCCCCTTGAGCTCATCGATTTTGGCAGATATAGTCCATTTTTCCCTGATCAAGTAACCACCTGTGAAGATTCTGATGGGGGTTTTGTTGGTGTTGTTTTTAAATGTATAAGCACAGCCTGGTTTCAAACTCCACCTCCTCATGGTAATACAGACCCAAGGGCACCCTTACAGGTTTCATCATAAGATGCAAGCGGGCAGGAATCCAAAACATGCACCCCCTCACCTTTTTTTTTTTTTTTTTTTTATTTTTTAAGATGGCCCATTTATTTCAAAGCAAATCTTACTATAATTGACTTTGATGAAGAGAGAACAGGCTACTTCTTTTTGAAATTTAATTTTATTTCTTTTTAAGATGGCCCATTTATTTCAAAGCCAATCTTACTATAATTAATTTCGATGAAGAGAGAACAGGCTACTTCTTTTTGACTGTTTGATGCTGCCAACACCGGCTCTCATGCACCTGATAGTAAAGTCAGTTGGGAGTTCTGCTAAATAATAAAAAAATCCCCCAAAATAATAAAAAAAAATGGTGGAAAAGGGGTAGTGCAGCACATTTAGTAAATGCCATGCTCACCTGGAGACTCTGCCCGACATTCTCGCTGTCAGGCTCTCAGTGCCACCCCGGTACCTCCGTCCCCAGCTTCAGTCACGTCACAGCAACTCCAGGTTGTTCTTCAGGGGTCAGGAGAGCAGGATGGGGAGAGGATTAAGGGTTTCTCGGTCATTGGTATTCCTGGGAAATTCACTTTTCCTTCATTTTAAATGACTGGCTGAGTATTCTGTCATTCAAGATAGGAATTAACCAGAGATGATTCAGCAAAGGCGGTGTTATGGTCTGAGGAACCCACCATAATTGATTGTCATTCAGACAATTATTGTCTCACCCCATGACCCCACCCAGGAAGGGGAATTGGGAAAAAACAAGGAAACCCGAGGGTTGAAATAGAAACCGTTTTAGTAGAATAAGACTAAATCATTAACATTAATGATACTAAAGAACCAATATTGATCCGGATACCAACATAAAATACACAAGGATTACACTCAGCCCATTCTATCACAGGAAGCTGTGTTATATAAAATACACAAGGATTGTACTCAGCCCATTCTATCATGGAAGCTGTGCCATCCCAGCAGGGGACAGCAAATGGGGGACACTTCCTCCCAGCTGGGGACAGCAAATGGGGGACACTGTGAGTGCTGTGGCTTTGGGAGGAAGGGAAGGGCTCAGGGGTCTGGTACCAGGGCAAAGAGTTCTCAGGATGCCAGCCATCATAGAAGAAAGGAAACTCCTCAGCTTTTCAGGATGGCAGCCATCATAGAAGAAAGGAAACTCCTCAGCAAACTTTCTAATTTATACTGAATGTGATGTTTATGGTATGAAATAATCCTGTTGGGTCAAGTGACTGGGTCTTGGTCCCTCGTCTTCCCCGCTCCTGACGAGCTCAGAAACACAGAGACCTTGACACCCATGCACCATACCTGGCTATGAAGTAAATATTTTCACAAATTCAGACACCAGAGTCTTCTAAAAGTGCAAATTTCCCAAGTATTGGAAGAGAAATTAGTCCTGTGTGGCTCAAACCGTATTGGAACAGAAATTAGTCCTGTGTGGCTCAAACCAGGACAGGTGGAAAACAATACGTGTAGCCAACACCCGTACGGAGCAGGATTGTGTCCCTCAGGGGGTGTCCCTGGAGGGGCAGCAGCTTTTCCACGCCTGCCTTCGGGCTCTGGAAATACCCTCCTGAGCTACAAGGAGCTGCCTTCAGCAAGTGCTTTCAATAGGTGCCAGCCTGCGTGAGGCCCGTTTTGCAGCTGGGAGGCTGCACAGAGCCCAGCCAGCCCCAGGACGTCACTGGAAATGCCAGCAGAGATTCCTTCCCTCTGGGTGTCACTTCACAGCCCTCTCTCACTGCCACCACCATCCAGCCGCATGGACGAGAGGTCTCCTTCAGGTGGGCAGAGCCAGCAGAGAGGGGGGAAAAAAACCCAACCCTCAAACTCAAAACAGCGTTCTTCTGCGAGCCATAGAATAATGCCAACTCCTGGTGTTATCTACAACTTTAAATTTAAGGTTACGGGTCAGATTTCTGTGGATTTGCATATAAAACCAGCCTGCCACTTAACCACTTAAAAATTAACATTACTATTATTTTAAAGTGACATGTGGCTCTGTTGTTTTTTTTTATTGAGACGTTAGGAAACAACAATAGCTGTGAAAGTAGGACTTAGAAAACAGAAGACCATTAGAATTATATATTCTGGTAGCAGTGAAAATACTCACCGCGAGGGGGACAAGGGCTATGACTTCCAAAAAATCTATAAAAGCAGCGAGTCAATGATCAGGTGGGGAAAATGTTAGTGCTGGGTTACAAGGTAAGGATGATGATTGTGCTGTGTCCTACGGGATGAATTGGGTAACAAGAATCTATGATCAATTGCAAAATAGAGGAGCTGCCCCCCCTGAGTGAATGATCAAATGTCCCAAAGACAAAACCCATCAATTTTTGGCCCAAGAGTGAGCAAAGCCATAGCAAGCATTACACAGATCAGTCCAGTTTTGCTGATTGCAGGTGGGAAAGCCCCTGGAGTGAGAGATGAAGGTGGGAAAGGTCAGAGAGCAGGAGGCAGTGCTGCCCCTCCCTTAATTCTTGTATGGACTCCCACATTACTCCCATCAAAGTCAGAGCTTAGCTGATTTTTTAGATCATTAAGCCATATTTTAGAGGTGAGATAGGATTAAAGGGAAAGATATCACTTTTGTTAGGGTTCCTCATCTATTCTCACTACCTTTGGAAAGCTGTCTTTTAAATTATTTGTTTAGAAAGCTGGAAAAAAATGACATGGGTGGACCTATTTAATCTTTCACATTCTTTAATGACTATGTACTTTAGATCCTTTATTGGATCAGCTTTGGGGAGACTACGCATAAAATCCCATGTATTTTAATGCTTCTTAGCTATAGCGTTATGCTGAAGACATGAGACGAGACCAAAAAAACCCCAAGAAAACCCTAATGCACATCACTACCAGGACACATCCAGGGTTTGTGTGTCAGCCTCTTGCCTTCCTAAGCTGAAAGTTGCTTCCTTCCTAAGCAGTTTGATGAAACAGTTAAGTGTCCATCTGGGAGAAGGGCTCACAAGGGCATCGCACTGTTGTTACCCTACCAAGGTGCCTTCTGGTCATCCCCAGGGTCCAAAAGCTCAAGGTATGCACAGTCAATAAACACATTCTTTTCATCATTCAGTACAATTAACAGTCTCTGTGAGCAGTGATGACTGTAATCATATTTAAAGACATAAATCATCTCTAAAAGGTGCTTTGCCTTTTTGTTTTTAATACACTACTAAGTGTGGAACTAGAAGAGGAGAATAGATAAGAGAGCAGTGAGACAGGATATAGAACACAAATTATTTGAGAGTTCCTGTGTGGCGAAAGGGCTGTGATATTTACCAAAAAGCCAGCTTAATTGGAACTGAAGCCTTGCTGTGCGTATGTGCACATGTACACACGCGTGCATCCACACACATACAGAAACCTGCAAGACACTGGTTTGAGAGAACACAGAAGTCCCACCTGCATGTGAAATTCAGAGTTTTTCTTTCCCCACATGAGGTGAGACTAAGAGAAGAGTAATGGAGAAGACTCCTTTAGGGTCTGGACATACAGTCAACAGTCAGTAATTCCTAGTTTTATAACTTTGGTATCACTTCCCATTCTTCTGGAATCTGAAAAAAAATCCTGAACGTGCCTCTGAATCATCAGGTGGGTGCTTCAGATGCTTCAAAACAACTCAGAGCCATCACAGGAAAGCACTGACAAGCACTGGTCCAAGTATTGTGACAGTCTTTCACAAAATTGTCACCCACACATACAGAAACTAGAAACGGTCTTTTGTCCCTTCAAGTATTTTTATGGATCTTACCTTAAGCAACCTTAAGAGATTATATAATGATTTGTAGTATAATTATTGAAAACGAGTGAGAATAAGTTTGTGGCAAAGCCAGTTTATTAGGTTTCAGGGATTGTGTCTTTCTTGCCCTCCCCCCGACACATACAAAATAACCCAACTTTACAGTTTGGTAAAGTGAAAATACATATACAAAGTATTCAGTACTTTTGACATCAATTTCGTGGGCGGCACATTACCACTGAAGCACACTGAATCCTGCCTTAATGACCACGTTACCTTTATGGCAGAACCATTACAACATGCTTTGTGCTGAAGACAAAATTACATAGTTAAACATTGTTTCCACACAATTTTAATGACATGAGGGCCCTTATTTACACGTTGTGAATAACTCACATAAAGTTTAACAGATTTGTAGATGTTTGATATCAAATTTAACAGTAACATGGTAGCTACATGATTTCCTTACCTTAACCCCCAACCTGATGACTGACTTTGGAATTCTTCAATCTGTTTTATTTATTAAAAAAGAAAAGAAAACAAAACAAACAATGTTTGCTGACATAGTTATTATACAAATAGTTAAGATGGATCCTTTTGAGTAAAAGGATTAAGGACATGAGTGAGAAACAAATTGTCCAAGAGGACTGTAAACCATATTTATTTACAATAGTATACACATAAATTTAAGATCAATCCTTTTCTTAAAAAAATCATTAAGGACACTAGTGTTTAAAAGCTGATTGTTTCTGAAAGGACTGTAAACCAAATTCTAGTTGTGTAAGGTTCAGAGTGAATACAAAAGTTCCCTTTTACAAATGTTTCCTAAACAAAATAACTGTCACAGTTGTAGCAGCTTTACCCAGGAAAAAAAAAGTTACCTTTTGTTTAGATTCTTTTTAAACATCTTCATCATATTAGACCAAATTAAATGCTCCTTCTAAATCTAGAAAAAAGTCAATGCGTTTTTCTTTTGTCAGTAAAACTTGCAGTGGAATTGCAAATTATTAATCATAATAGTTTATATAATATTAGTTATCTTGTTGCAATAATTTGTTTCTAATGTGATCAGTAGGGCCTCTGAACTGGCCCTTCTGTTTAGTTTCCAGTCAGCATCAAACACTACACATCGCAAATCAAAAAATCTTCATTTTTACTTCAATTCCTTTAAAAACTAAGTCAAGAAGCATTGTTTGACATGGCATATGAAGTCATAGATTGCGTTCTACGGCTTACGTTTTGCTTTATGCCATTATGTGCAACCTAGCACCATTGTTATTATGAAACTTGACCTTCAGACTGAAATGAGACGGTTGCAGTTATGAGAACACAGCAGAAGGTGGTTCTAGAGGAGCTATTTCCTTCACCTGACCCAGTACATTAGTAACTCACATTAGTAACGCCAAGGATGCTCAGCACACAGCTGTGACATTACACGAGCAAGTTTTTGCTCAAAAATCTGTAACAGATGATGCTTCAAGATCTAATTTATTTTGGATTCAGAAGTATCTTAAGTAAGTACCATATTCCTAACTTTTTGTCCTAAGCATTTCCATCCCTAAAATATATTATCAAGTTGGTCGTAAAAAGCTTTTTCAAGATATTTTGAGAAGCGTTCATTATCACTAAAATACTCTGAAACCCCAGTCTTTGAAAACCAGCATGCTTTTGCCAGCTTCACTCAATCTTTTATTTACTTAAGTGTTTTTACTTACCCTGGGATACTCAACTCAAACACAGCATCTTTAGAAATAAGTCTTCATTGAAGTTTTAGTAAGGTCAGAGAAGTTATGGACAGTTAATAGCCCCAAATTTACTCCAAACCCTGTGCTACAGTACTTTCCATAAAAAGGAATGCATAGTTTAGATTTACATGCTAATTATGAAAAATTAATGAAGTTTTAAGTATCAAATAATTGTCTAGAGGTAGGGACAAGTTTGTCAATTCTCTTACCATTGCCATGAATAAACAGACAAAGTTTACAGTGGAATGACGGGCCAAAAGCTAGCAGTTTGCACCTATGCTGACAGCCCAAGCTTTATCTGACAGCCCTGGGTTTTGTTTTTAAAATAAAAAGGTACTTGCTTAGCAGTTTGCTAGAAGTCACCAAATATTCCTTCATATACCGAAAACCTCCACACTCACTGGCCCAAAAATAAAGCTATCTGGCTGCCACAAAGCACTTTTTCTCCTCCTTGCAATGCAAGTAGCAACCAAAAATGTTAGTAAACCGGCTTACTATTTATAACCTTACCACAAGTGATGACAACAACCTCAGGCAGCAAGAGCTCAAGTAGAATTGCTTTGTCAAAACTTCACTTGAACGTCTACTTTCCCATATATTTATAGTGAAACTTCAGTAATTCAGAAAGTACAATTACAAAGTGCAAGAACATGAAATGGGCACATCTACACTAGAAGAAAATAAAAAAAAAACCCAACACATTAAAGTGCCAAAGAGACTCGCTACAATCGCTACCAAAACCTGGGACTTTGCCAAGATCATAATTTTGAAGCATTTGCAAACAAGACAAGGTGATAACCAATTTAACACCAGCAGGTCATGGCAGGTTTTGGTTCAGGCTTTATACGTATTTCATCGCGATCTGGGGGTTGACTAAGCATTAATGGCTTGTGACTTTTAAGCTTGTGAGCCAGTGTCATAAATATGGCCTCCACATGGTCATTGTCATTGGGGTTTTTGGCAGAGGTTTCAAACAAGGGCATACTGTGAGTATCGGCAAACTTCTGGGCCAAGTCCGTAGGTACCTGAATAGCGCTCCTCAGGTCGCATTTATTGCCAACCAGAATCCGTGGTATATCATTGGCAAGGAGGTGCTGTTTGCATTCCTCTATCCAGGACGGCAGACTGTGGAAACTGGCAATGTTTGTCATGTCGTACACAAACACAACAGCGTGTACGTTCCTGTAATAGTGCTGCACCATGCTCTTTCGGAAGCGCTCCTGGCCCGCCGTATCCCACAGCTGGATCTGAAAAGGGAAAGACAACACGAGAAAAAAATACCATTTTATTACTCACGTTGGAAATTCGTACAAGATCAACTGTAGCTAGGGGAGTCACACCATCACAGAAATCTACTCTTCTGAATTCATCCCACTGGAAAGATTGCGCTGAAGAAAACTGCTTTTACAAAATTTCAGAAACTTCTGCTTTCAAAGCTTTTTTTTTTTCTACAAAAACAAATCCTGAAGTTCTGGCAATAGCACTTTCATTTCAAAAAACAACACGTATTTCACAGCACAAGTCTCGGCTGACATGATTCGTTTATTGCCAAAAATAATGTCATCTTCCTCAAAGTTTTGTTTTTAGCATGAAGTTAACTGCCTATTGTGGTACTATATAAAGTAGGAAGAAATCAAACCATGCATGAATACCACCACCACCACAAAACCAGGACAAAAACCCCTTTCTCTGCAGTGTATCTATTGAAATCAAACCCTCCTGTGACGAACCTCTAATTTAAGCTTATTTAAAGCTTAAACTAGGACCATACTGTGGTTTGTAGTATCAAAGCATGCATAAAAGGAAAAAAAAATTAAAAATGCATAAACCTCTTGTTAGCTTAACATGCTACTATTGTTTCCAGATAGGCATCATTCTATCCCAAATAGACTGAACTTGTTTGAAGCCTAGTCAGTGTCATGGACAAAAAAACCCCCAACTTTCAGAAGAGCTGAAATACTTTCAAATTTCTCAGGTTCAGATTAGAACAAAACAAAACAAGCCTTGAAGCACAAGCAGATATAAGCAACAACTAATTAAAATGTTAAATGCATCGGTTACCCTGGTACAATGGAAGCTTGGAGTACTCAGAGGTGTAGGGTACACTACAGAGTTGTGCACTTATTGGACACAGTGATATTTTAACAAACCTGCTCTGTGGGAGACATGGGATTGCAACGTACAACAGTCAGAGCCAATTCACCCACACGCTGGAGTCACTGTACACTGTAACAAGCAAACCAGTGTGTGGCTCTACGGTACATGCCTTAGTGACGGTGTTAACACTGCAAGACAACATTAGACTTCTTGGGTCAAAGCTGAGTGCTGGTTTCCTCTCTGTCCTGTACAGCTCATCCCTGACAGCTGAGGCACTCTGAGCAGTACTTCAGCTCTTAGCTTTTGAGCAGAAAATGTCAGACAGAAATGCTTCCTCCCTGAGAACGAAAAGAGGGAATTTCTTTTCAGATTCAGAATTCAAAGAATATTAAATGTTCTGTAAACGATGAAGGTAAATTTAAAATTCAATCTGTTCCCATGAAAGGTACAGCCAGTACCTTCCCTTGATGAAATTGTTCTCCCATTACCATAGTTCTGCATTCCTTTGATCCAAACGTTCCAGTAAAACTTATTTCGAAATTGCAAGTGTCTTGAAAGTTGCCCTGTTTACCATTTTTACCAGTGACTTTGATAGTAAAAAGAACAAAACTCAAGTGCCAAGGAAATTTGCTGATGGCAAGAAGCTAAGATGCACGACTGACAGAGGAGGAGGATTCCAGTATTACATACTTTTTTTTTTGAAAGCCAGAACAGCAGAAATAGGGTGAAACTGAATAGAAGCAGATGCAAAGTCTTGATAACAGCAACTAATAAATCAGTGTTTTCCTGTAAATGCAGGATTCGTCAGTTTGGAAATTATTAAAACGGATGACAATCCAGATACACGAGTCAATCACAGGACATTATGAATCACTAGCGTGATAGAGTGAAGGAAAAAAAAAAGAGTAAGTGATTTTTCAGGATGGCGTGATTTTTTCTGCAATATTATTTTCAACCCTGGTCACCCATCCTCGAGAAAAGCTCAGATTGGAGCAGGTGGAAATGACGGTTACTGGTTTGATCATAGGAACCTAGAATTGACATGAGATCATCAGAACAGCTTGGCTTCTGTAGTTATCTGCAGCTTCTGATCCACAGACTTAAAAACATCCATGTACTCCTTTTTAAGGTGTCATTAAGATTACTAAGAAAAGCAAGGCAAGTCGCCCTAGCCTCTGATCACAGAAAAAATTAGTCAGTTGCAATCCATCTCCTTTTAGAACAAATACCAGCAGTTTGATAATGGTATTACACTCTAAACACGACTGACTGCATCTCCATTGTCTGTTAAGGGAGTCTAGACAACCAGATTAAATACAGGCACCTAAGTTTGAGCAAGATTCATTCACCTACTCAGATGAGAGCTACTTCTAGTTCTATGCACTTATAAAACATTATGAAGTGAAGAGACTCATGGAAAATTTCCACTAATTTGGAATTTGACAAATTAAAGAGAGAATAAAGAAGCACAGACTGAAGTAATCCTTATGTTTGGACAACATATGTTAAGGAATCACTATATATCATCTTGGAAAATGCTATATCAAATTAATTTAAAGAGGGACCTCATTTTGACAGATAGCTGGGAGCTTACACTTCTCTCCCCACCTCATTTGGAGAACAGAAATCAGTCACGCTTCAGTCAAGCACATATCCGCAAGTGTATTGCCAGCCTTGGGTAGAGAAGAGGAAATTAAATTAAACAATTACATATCTTCCAAGATAAGCTTAAACTACAGTTCCTCCTACATTTTATTTACATGCAGCTTTTAAGCTTGAAGGGTATTATCTCAAATTAAAAACTCTTGGCATGGAATCATTTGCACTGAGAGGCAAATCCTTCCTCAAGACTGTAAATTTCTCACTTTGGAAGGCTTTTTTCGCCTTCTTTCCAGGTGAACTCGGGGAGACAATTCCATTTCCAGCCCCTGAAAAATATTTGCTCTACTGAAAAACAACAGTGAAAATGTTCACGCTAATAGATGTGCATTGGTGAATTAAGATTACTGTTTCATTGTTAGATCAATACATTCTTCAAGGGAGCACATTTTTTTTTATATAATAGGCCTTTAAAATGTGTGATTTGAAAATTTGGTTAAACATCATAATTCAACTAATAAAACTGCGGGCAGAATCACTTTGTCACACTCCCTAGGAAAGACAAATTGTTCTTAAATATATCCACTCCGCTATCACCTCCCACCCTCCGACTCCTTTTTGTGGATCCAAAAGGCTGTTTTCTAAACAAGGACACCCTCAGCATGCATGGTTTATAACAAGCTGGTAAAAACATAGCTGGCCTTTAATAGAGATAAAATGGTTAACTATGTCTGCTTTTGCAAGACGTGGGGAAAAAAATAAATTGAAAAGCTGAAAAGTGTAGAACACAATGTTTGGATTTTCTTCTTTGAATTTAACTTGCATCCTTTGCTCTTTTAATGTAGGTCAGTGAAGAGTGACATCATTGTTTTCTTTGATTTGCAATGCTAAGATCAATTTAGGAAGAGGAAGATTTAGAATGCAAAAAATTCATTTGCTGAAAACTTTCATTTATTCATCACATCTAAGCATCAGTGTTTCATATGAGGTTGTTAGCCTACTGCACAAGCTACGAAGGAATACACTTGTCCCTATGTCTTGGAATTCTACACAATTCCTGTGTGGAAGACCCCCGGCGAGAAGAACTGTGCTTGTGTTCCTGCCAATGACACAGCGTTTTTCCAGCTGCAAGGGAAATGCTCAGTACTGTAGCAGCACAAGAATGACCATCCAGCTGGCTGGGGGAAGGGAGAAGAGAGAAAAGAAAACACTATTTTATAATCTCCTTCAACGCAAGAGGAAAAATTCCTCTGCTCAGCAAACCCTTGAGGGCACAGCAAGAACAGCACTAATTCAGTTCATCTGAGCTCCTCTTTCCTGGCTCAACAGGCACTGCTGGAGGTCACTGCTACAAGCAAGAACAGTAAAGATGCATGAGAGGAGGCAGCAAAAACCAAAAATTGGTGCATACTTGACAACACACAGCATCCCCAAAGAGCTATAGTCCTGGTCACAATGTTAAAGTTTACTCCTTTTAAAGCTGAAACAGAACTTCCCGGAAAACAATGTGTCTCAAAAAAGAGTCTCCTTCAGTTCTCTGCTTCCCTCAACCTGGACTGGTACATTCAACAGGTAATATCCTCATGAACATAGCAAAACAACCTACCACAAAACGTATAACCAAATGGCACAATAACCTATGTGAAGCATCTCCGAACTGTGGATTAGGCTATATTCTTCTTCACTTCCCTCCAACAAAGGCTGGGCATAATCTGGAGGTGGTGACAATGCCAGTAAGTAAAATAGGACAAGAAGATATCCCTCAGGAGATTCCCTCCTCTGTGACGGACAGCTATAGACCAGGGAGTACAGAATCTCAGCCACCAGCCAAAGAAGGGCTATTCAGTGGTTTTATAAAGAAAAACAGTAACAAAGACTCTTACTCATTTTTCTTTTTTTTAGTTAAAAGAAAGATATGAGGTGGAAAAAAAAAAACCACCACAAAAGAAGAAAAGCAAATATACCTAACATGCCCTCCACAATTTGTTTAATCAGTAAGTAAGCAAGGAAAAACTAGAGTCTTCAGTTATATGATTGTAAGCTGTAATTACAAAGCCTGGTGATAATAAATGCAAAAGCACAATTCCAAGACTACTGTTACTCCCTTTTTCTACACAATATTAAACTTTGCTGATTGAAACAAACTGTAATACAGAAGTAGAAGGGGATGCTGTTTAAAACCATGTTACTCTTAGTAAACAAACTGCATTTGTGAGCAGCTAGCAGTCTAATCTGCAATTGACTGTTAAGATCACCACTAGCATTTATGCATCTACCGGGCAGACTAGCTATATTTCATATACTTTTAAAATTTGCATTACAGTGCAAAGAAGGCAAAGGAACATTTTCCCTCCCATTCAATTTTCCACTAAATTTAGTTTTGTAAGACTAAGTTTTAGTTAAACCTATAATCAGAGTAAAAAACAGTTGTCAAATGTAAGCTCGGTATCCAGCCCGTCAGGCTCACTGTCCAGTTCTGTACCACACTTGCCTAAACATGCAGCAATCTTAACAAAATCCTGAAAAAATAATCATCTAAAGTTGTAACATGCTGCTATCACTGCTGTAGCACTTCATTCCTCAACAATGGTCAATTTCTTAAAGGGACATTTTTAAAGCAAAACGCTCTTAGCAGTGGTATCTGCATAGCTTTACGGACTTGAACTTTAAGCCAATTAAGTGTGATTCTTGAGAAACACAGAAACAGAATTTCAACAAACTGCTGAAACCAGGCACTGCCAACACTAAAATACTGGTAAGTAAGAGATCTACCTAGAAGGCCATTCTTAAGGAGACGTTATTGATTAACACCTGCCAAAAGCCGTGCAAAGGTTTGGCCTATGGCAGAAATTTTTCATCATCATAGAAACCTACAGAGTACTTACATTTCCAATAGGAGCAAGGCAAAATAGTTTTAAACAGAGCTGCACAGCAGATAGAGCTGAAGCCACTGGCTATGCCACACAACCACATTGAACTTCTGGGGTACAGAGACATGACACCAGAGCCTACGAACCCCACCACGCAGCCCCACACCTGCCAGCAGCACGGATGTCCACTCCTCATGCCAACCCCACACAGCTGCCTGGGCCTTTGGATGTAACTGGAAGAGGTTGCCCAGAGAAGATCTGAAGGCCCCATCCCTGGAGGTGTTCAGGACCACGGTGGATGGGGCTTTGAGCAACCTGGTCTAGAAGGAGGTGGGCAGGGGGGTTGGAACTGGATGATCTTTAAGGTCCCTTCCAACCCAAACCATACTATGATTCTAAGTATAAGCACAGGGTCAGCACATAACACATTACCCTACTCCACCACCAACTACTTGTAGCTTGGAGCCCCTCTCCCACCCACTTAGACACAGGCAAAAAGAATTTCTCTTCCATTAACCAGTATAGATTTTTTTTCATAAACCTTCACCAAATCCTAGCAGTCCTGCCATCCTATGGCCAGGACGCCCAGTTTAACTGGGGTGTATAAAAGACAATTTTGCTTGAACTTGTCAGCTCTCAACTTCCCTTGGTACCGCTACTCTTTGGTTGATTTTTATTTTTTCCACTCCTTTATGAAGGCTGAAGGTGGGGATTTAAAGCTCCTTCAGCAGCCTGCAGGGTACTTCCATCCTGATGTGAGCCTGCTGCCACACAGGGAGGGGAGAGAAATAAGATAAATAAGCCCCCTCCAGCCCCGGGGGTCTGCACTCAGAGTGACAACTGGCACTCAGGTAGACCACTTGGCCACAGGATCCAGGCACCGCGGGGGTTCCCCAGCCCGTCACCACCCCGCTTCCCCCGGTGTCCCCGCTGCTGCCTAGGGCCACGCCGGAGCCCCGTACCACCGCGGGCTGCTCCCTCCTGTCAGCAGCCGGGCCAGGGCCCGGCGGGCAGGCAAGGCCCAACGCGGGGCCAGCACCGAGGCGGCGGCGGGCAGCGCTGCCGGTGCCGGCGGCCCGGCCCGGGGAAGGCCCCGTGGGTACCTTGATGCGCTCGCCGTCGATGGTGACGGCGCGCTCGCGGAAGTCCACGCCGATGGTGGCCTCGGTGCGCTGAGGGAAGCGTCCGGCGCAGAAGCGGTAGGTGAGGCACGTCTTCCCCACGTTGGAGTCCCCGATGACGATGATCTTGAAGATGCGGGAGCGGGCGGGGGGCAGCCCGCCGGCGGGGAGCGCCCCGCTGCCCGTCAGGCTCAGCTCCAGCGAGGACTCCAGGTCGGCCGCCGCCGCCATCATCGCTCCCGGGCGGACCGCCTCAAGGAGAGGGGGAGGCGGCCGCCCCGCTCTCCTCCTCCTCCTCCCACACTGACCGTTAACGGCCGCCGCCGCGGGGAGGGGGACAACTAACAGCCGCCCGCCGCGCGCGCTGCCGCCACACGTCACGGGCGCCCCCGGCCCCGGCTGCCACTGGGAAGGGGCAGGGCGGGGAGATCTCGCGAGAGCGCGCGAGACGAGGCGAGGCGGGGCGGGGCCAGGGCCGGGGCCTGAGGCGGCGGGCGGGGAGGGAGAGGTGGAAGAGGAAGGGGCGGCTTCGTCTGTCCTCGTACGGCGGCAACGCGGGGCCTCGCAGCCGCTGTGGGGCAAGGCGGCGTGGGCTGAGGCGGCGGGGGTGCTGTGGGGCAGCGGGGTCTCGGCCAGCCTCTCCCGCAGCTCCGGTGATGTGTCCGGTTCTGGGCTCCTCACGACGCTGAGGCGCGGGAGCGGGTCCGGAGAACAACCAACGAAGCTGGTGAGGGGTCTGGAGAGCAAGTCTTATGAGGAGAGGCTGAGGGAGCTGGGGGTGTTCAGTCTGGGGAAAAGGAGGCTGAGGGGAGACCTTCTCGCTCTCTACCACTCCCTGAGAGTGTAGAGAGGCGGGGGTCGGTCTCTTCTCCCAAGTCACAGGTGATAGGACAAGAAGAAATGGTCCCAAGTTGCACCAGGGGAGGTTTAGGATGGATATTAGGAAAAAATCCTTCTGTAAAAGGGTTATCAAGCATTGAAACAGGCTGCCCAGCAAAGTGGTGGAATCACCATCCCTGGAGGTATCTAAAAAACAGGTAGACTTGGTGCTCGGGGGCATGGATTAGAGATGGTTTTGGGCAGCGTTTGGTTAGTGGTTGGACTTGATGATCTTGAAGGTTCTTTCCAACCAAGATGATTCTATGATTCCTGCTGTTGTTTACAGTAATAAGATGGCTGCACGTTCATCCCTGAGAGACACTGGGACCAAAAGTGATGGATGTGTCTCACAATAAGAAGGGAAGTATGGCATGGCCTTAAGAATCTGATAATAAACTCACCAAGGGCATCAGCCTAGGAGGAAGGTAGGATGAAGACATCAAGTTGAAGCAATGCCCAGCAGCAAAATTTTTTCAAGAGTTTAACCGCTACTGTCCTGGCTTGAGTGACAGGATTAATTTCTCTTTCAGTATTTTCACTTTTCAGTAAAGTCTCTTCTAATACTTGGGAAAACTGCTCTGCTGTCTGAATTTGTAAAAATATTTACTTCACAGCCAGCTATGGTGTGTGGGTTTCAAGGCCTCAGTGTTTTTGAGCTCGCCAGGTGTAGGGACGAGGAGGAGCAAGACCCGGGCACTTGACCCAAGCTGCCCAACAGGATTATTTCATACCTTGAACGTCACATTCAATATAAATTAGCAAGTTTGCTGAGGAGTTGTCTCTCTCCCTCGATGGCTGCGATCCTGAGAACTCCTTGCCCCGGTGCCGGACCCCTGAGCCCTTCCCTTCCTCCAGAAGCCACAGCGCTCGCAGTGTCCCCCATTTGCTGTCCCCTGCTGGGAGGGCACTGCTTCCTGTGATAGAACGGACCGAGTGTAATCCTTGTGTATTTTATATAGGTATCAGGATCATATTGGTTCTTTAGTATTATTGATCTTAGTTGCTTAGTCTTATTCTATTAAATCTGTTTCTATTTCAACTCTCAGGTTTCTGTGTGTTTTCTGTTCCCCTTCCTGGGTGGGGAGGGGTCATCGGGTGAGAGCATAATTGTCTGAACGACAATAAACTGCTGTGGGTTCCTCAAACCATAACACCTGCATTAACAAGCAAATGTAGATGGCAGTAATTGAGAGAACTGTTACCCTATTGATGTCTCACTGGCCTGCAAACTGATAGCTGAGCCAGGATTCCTAAGGTTGGGATCAGATACCTAATAATAGCCACTGGGAGACCTCCTCTGTGTCCTGTTACACGTGCTTCCCACCGCTCAGGGCTTCTGCCTGCTCAAATAAACAACCCTTGGATCGTTGCTCCCCATAAAGCTGCTTTCAGGCGGTCGAAGGACAGTGCTTTGAGCAGCCTGCCATTGCTCAGATATAAAAACAATAGGCTAGAGTTAAAAAAATAATAGCATATAATGCTCTAGGTTCGGAGCAGCTTTAGTTGCGGTGCTCATCTCGGTGTGATGTGAAACAAAAAAAATAGAGACCGTAAGCAGCATGAAGAGCTGCTTAATGCAGTCAGCTTCAGCACTTCAGAGAGTTTATATCTTAGTTCTTCTTATTCCCCTCTCACCCCCCTCTTGGACCAGCAGTAGAGAAGTGCCTCCACCCTGTAGTCCTCTTCTGAGACAAGAGGCCTCCATTTATGCTGTCGAGTGATGTGTTGAAGGAAGATGAGAGGAAAGTGGGGAGGTCGTGCCACCCTTGAGCTCCTACTGTCCCTTCTAATAGAATTGCTCCTTTTAGCAGCCAGAAGATGAGAGGTGTTTGAGTGGGGAGAGGGACCACAAGCCAGTGAGCATCAGGGGCCTGGAGCATCTCCCTTACAAGGAAAGGCTGAGGGACTTGGGTCTCTTTAGTCTGGAGAAGAGAAGGCTGAGGGGGGATCTGATCAATGTCTATAAATACTTAAAGGGAGGGTGTCAAGAGGATGGGGCCAGTCTTTTTCAGTGGTGCCCAGGGATACACAAGAGTAAATGGGCACAAACTTGAATGTAAGAAGTTCTACCTAAACATGAGGAGGAACTTCTTCACTTTGAGGGTGGCAGAGCCCTGGATGGATATTAGGAAAAAATCCTTCTGTAAAAGGGTTATCAAGCATTGAAACAGGCTGCCCAGCAAAGTGGTGGAATCACCATCCCTGGAGGTATCTAAAAAACAGGTAGACTTGGTGCTCGGGGGCATGGATTAGAGATGGTTTTGGGCAGCGTTTGGTTAGTGGTTGGACTTGATGATCTTGAAGGTTCTTTCCAACCAAGATGATTCTATGATTCCTGCTGTTGTTTACAGTAATAAGATGGCTGCACGTTCATCCCTGAGAGACACTGGGACCAAAAGTGATGGATGTGTCTCACAATAAGAAGGGAAGTATGGCATGGCCTTAAGAATCTGATAATAAACTCACCAAGGGCATCAGCCTAGGAGGAAGGTAGGATGAAGACATCAAGTTGAAGCAATGCCCAGCAGCAAAATTTTTTCAAGAGTTTAACCGCTACTGTCCTGGCTTGAGTGACAGGATTAATTTCTCTTTCAGTATTTTCACTTTTCAGTAAAGTCTCTTCTAATACTTGGGAAAACTGCTCTGCTGTCTGAATTTGTAAAAATATTTACTTCACAGCCAGCTATGGTGTGTGGGTTTCAAGGCCTCAGTGTTTTTGAGCTCGCCAGGTGTAGGGACGAGGAGGAGCAAGACCCGGGCACTTGACCCAAGCTGCCCAACAGGATTATTTCATACCTTGAACGTCACATTCAATATAAATTAGCAAGTTTGCTGAGGAGTTGTCTCTCTCCCTCGATGGCTGCGATCCTGAGAACTCCTTGCCCCGGTGCCGGACCCCTGAGCCCTTCCCTTCCTCCAGAAGCCACAGCGCTCGCAGTGTCCCCCATTTGCTGTCCCCTGCTGGGAGGGCACTGCTTCCTGTGATAGAACGGACCGAGTGTAATCCTTGTGTATTTTATATAGGTATCAGGATCATATTGGTTCTTTAGTATTATTGATCTTAGTTGCTTAGTCTTATTCTATTAAATCTGTTTCTATTTCAACTCTCAGGTTTCTGTGTGTTTTCTGTTCCCCTTCCTGGGTGGGGAGGGGTCATCGGGTGAGAGCATAATTGTCTGAACGACAATAAACTGCTGTGGGTTCCTCAAACCATAACACCTGCATTAACAAGCAAATGTAGATGGCAGTAATTGAGAGAACTGTTACCCTATTGATGTCTCACTGGCCTGCAAACTGATAGCTGAGCCAGGATTCCTAAGGTTGGGATCAGATACCTAATAATAGCCACTGGGAGACCTCCTCTGTGTCCTGTTACACGTGCTTCCCACCGCTCAGGGCTTCTGCCTGCTCAAATAAACAACCCTTGGATCGTTGCTCCCCATAAAGCTGCTTTCAGGCGGTCGAAGGACAGTGCTTTGAGCAGCCTGCCATTGCTCAGATATAAAAACAATAGGCTAGAGTTAAAAAAATAATAGCATATAATGCTCTAGGTTCGGAGCAGCTTTAGTTGCGGTGCTCATCTCGGTGTGATGTGAAACAAAAAAAATAGAGACCGTAAGCAGCATGAAGAGCTGCTTAATGCAGTCAGCTTCAGCACTTCAGAGAGTTTATATCTTAGTTCTTCTTATTCCCCTCTCACCCCCCTCTTGGACCAGCAGTAGAGAAGTGCCTCCACCCTGTAGTCCTCTTCTGAGACAAGAGGCCTCCATTTATGCTGTCGAGTGATGTGTTGAAGGAAGATGAGAGGAAAGTGGGGAGGTCGTGCCACCCTTGAGCTCCTACTGTCCCTTCTAATAGAATTGCTCCTTTTAGCAGCCAGAAGATGAGAGGTGTTTGAGTGGGGAGAGGGACCACAAGCCAGTGAGCATCAGGGGCCTGGAGCATCTCCCTTACAAGGAAAGGCTGAGGGACTTGGGTCTCTTTAGTCTGGAGAAGAGAAGGCTGAGGGGGGATCTGATCAATGTCTATAAATACTTAAAGGGAGGGTGTCAAGAGGATGGGGCCAGTCTTTTTCAGTGGTGCCCAGGGATACACAAGAGTAAATGGGCACAAACTTGAATGTAAGAAGTTCTCCCTAAACATGAGGAGGAATTTCTTCACTTTGAGGGTGGCAGAGCCCTGGCAGAGGCTGCCCAGGGAGGGGGTGGAGTCTCCTTCTCTGGAGATATTCAAACCCCGCCTGGACACGTTCCTGTGCAACCTGCTCTGGGTGGACCTGCTTTGGCAGGAGGGTTGGACTAGATGATCTCCAGAGGTCCCTTCCAACCCCATGTGATTCTGTGATCTCTGTAGCCTAACAGCCTAACTCCTAAGTTAAAGGAGCAGAGAAACCCCACTCCTAGCAGGGGCTGCTCTGGTTTGGGCTCTCCCAGAAGGAGGGTTTAAGCAGCTGCTGGGCAGGGTCTGCCAACAGCTCATTTAACTGGGCTCCATCTCGGCTGTGCCAAGAGGGCCAGAGCGAGTTATAA